ATCTCTCTCTCTCTCTCTCTCTGTCTTTCTCCACCTTCCCTCTTTTCTTTATTTTCTGTACATTCATTAGTCACAAATGACACATTTTTCTTGGTTATTGTTAATAGACGTCAGTTTAACACTACATTTTCTTCTCTCTTCAGAGGATACAAGGCTGAGCTGAACAGAGAATCTAGACACGAGTAGAGCGACGCTTTCCCTGTCTCGTCATCGGAAGAAACATGGTTATGTTTCAAGAAAACGACAGAATAATAAATCATCGCAGCTTAGCAAATGAATGTTGTGATTGAAAACCATGGCTTAGCCCTTGAATGTTGTGACTGAATCCAGCGGCTACTCACTGAAGTCTATTTCGAAAAAGAAACATCAACAGCTATTAACTGGAATCTAGGCCTATTTCGAAAAAAAATTAACTTCTATTTACAGAAGTCCATTTTAAAAAAATAAAAAAATCCAGCAGCTATTCAGAAAAAAGGCCAGGCATCCCAGGGAATAATATTGTGAAGTGCTGAGAGCATTTTGCCCGAGTGGATACTTATAGATTGCAAAATGATATAGGCCTCCTTTATGCTGTAGCTGCACTATAGGCTGCTCCATATCGCGTATATTATCATTTCTCCGAGGAGTCCAGTATCATTATCCAAGACACATACCAAAGGGAAATGCTCCTCGGCGTAGCCTATGGTAAATTGTTGTGCTTGCCAGATGGAATTACGGGACAAGATCCCTTCAAGTTTGTGTAAAGTTAGGTGGATTTCTTTCTGTGCAACGGTTTAATCCCAGGCCTAATAATGTGACACTTGAATTTTTTTTAAACCAACGATTGTAAAGTTTCTTCAGTAACAATACCAGGGGCAACTGCAGCAGCGACAATTATCGTTGTTACCACCGTACCAACACCTTTGGCAACATCATCTGCAGCCTTATCAACAACTGTCAGACATGGCCGTTACAAACTCGAGCAGCCTTGAGATGTCTACCCCAGATTTTAATAGGACGCCTTCTTTCTCGGACCTCCAAGCGGTCAATGATGACATCGCACGTACTCTCATTCCAGCCATGGCCTTTTTTGGAATTCTCATGGTTATTGGAATTGTGGGGAATTCCCTCGTGTGCTACGTGTTCTGCCGGAGACTCCAACCCGGAACACAAAATTACTTGATAGTCTTCCTCGCTGTCTTTGACCTTCTCAGCTGCACCATCGCTATGCCCAATGAAATCGCCGACATGAGATATTTCTATGTATTTGACTCAGAACCGGCGTGCAAAATAATGAGGTGCGTATATATTCCATGCTTTGATTCAAAGAAATATTGCGACAATCCATTTAATTTCATATTATATATACTCTCGTCTGTTAACGAGAAATCTCCTTCTTAGGTCTTGCACTTAATAAAGCTGAGGTTTTTTTAAATTGTTTTTTTTAATTCCCTGCGGGTGGAAATTTCACGCCACTGGTAGGTCCTACTTCTTTACTTTCCCTTTGTTGCTTCTGCCTGTCTGCCTACGTCTTACCTTTTCCCAGCACTAAATGACCATTACTGGGTCGATGTGATTCTCTTTAGGCAAACAAATAAATCAAAACTCTTATTGTTATATCTATCGATTGTTCTACCTATATTTAGATCTGCATATCTACCGACCTAGCTACCCAGCTATCTATCGTCATAACTATCTACTTAGCCACCTCGCTACCCATCCATCCATCCATCCACTCGTTCATCCATCCGTCCACTCGTTCATCCATCCATCCATCCATCCATCCATCCATCCATCCATCCATCCATCCATCCATCCATCCATCCATCCATCCATCCATCCATCCATCTACCCCTTTATCTGTCTGTCTGTCTGTCTGTCTGTCTGTCTGTCTGTCTGTCTGTCTGTCTGTCTGTCTGTCTGTCTGTCTGTCTGTCTGTCTCCTTTTATTATCCTTAGACCTATTGTCCGTTGCTTCAATTATCGTTGCACACCACACTAACATTCATGAGCAAACACATAGTAAAATACACACACGCACTCACATACAAACATATACACACGCGCACTTGCACATACACAGACACACACACAGTCTCCCCCC